GAGAGGTGTGAAAAAAGGATGAGTGATAGCAGAGCCGCTCAACACAAAATTGGTTGGGATTAACTTCACTTGTCTCTTTGTTTATTTAGACACATCGATTTTGACAAAATAAATTTCTGTGAGGTCGAAAAATATTAGATAGAATCATTTAAAAAGACAAATATGCAAAGAAAGTTAATTAACTTTACTTTATTTTACACATTTTATGAAAAAATCCGTCCGAGCAGGCCGAAAGGCAGTTGAAATGGAAGTGATTGCATCGAAAGTGACTTTCTCTTTGATGCTTGTCGGACGGACAAAATCCGTTTGCGCGGGATTCACAATAACCCATGAAGAAGCTTGAGCAGCCAGTGAATCTGCACCCCCTGCGGCCAATTTATCGGGTTCAGTTTCTGTCCATTTATTTTCGGCCAATATTGTTTGTAAACGAGGACTTTCTTCCGAGACATTGAGAAATGAAGCTAAGAGTGGCCTCGGGATACGTTGGTAGGTTATGCCAACTACGTATGCTACGACTAAAATTAGAAAACCAAGCCTGAGTCACAGCAACAAGTAATAAAATGTATGAAGTAACCTTACATTTTTGAATTGATTCTTGGAAATCAGGGATATTCGCGATTAACTCGGGAGATTCTTGTAGTCTCAACTAAAATAATGTACAGGCAGATGACAAACCCAAAACTCATGGAATTGGCAGTTCTCAAGAAGCACACCTAGCTTAACCACGAGAGACAAAGGCTCAGTCTCGAGCTTGAAAAATAATTTTTAAAATACTTACTCGGTCAATGTGTATCAAATACTTGCATAGTGTAAAGTCGGCCATTGGAATGTTGCAAATGGCTTTTAGCAAAATTAACCTGGCTACATCAACTTTGAACCGGTTGGGATAAAATTGATACCTGAAATTCAAACCACAAATACAATTACAGTTTCAATATCGCAAGGTTAGCCTCAATGTCGGATTGCCGCTGAGCCACTTGCCAATGAAGATACTCTTCAAGTACCGGAAGATTTTTGGGATTATAACTAGGGAAAT